TCCATTTCCATGCAATTTCCCTTTTCTCTCCCTTTCCCTCCCACCTCATGTCTCTGTTTAATGTTAATCCTTTCTTTCTGCTCTTCCTCCCTGTTCTGTTCTTAGTTGCGTGAGCCTTAGTTTTAATTGTAATAAAATCCACTTTGCTTTCTTTAACCTAAGATATTTTTGCGCACCCACAAGATATTCTGCTATGATTTCCTGTAAAAATTGTGCTTTTAGTTTTGTGTTTAGGTCTGTAATTATCTCAAATTAATTTTTATTTATGGTGTGAGATGGAGGTTGAGGTCAGTTTATTTTTTTACCTTATGGCTGGCTTTTCGGTATTCTAGCAGTACCTTTATGAAAAAGATTTTCCCTTATTGTTTCACATTGGTTTTGGCCAAAAATCAAATGACTATTTAGAGTGCTGGTCTGTGTCTGAACAATTGATCTATTTTTCAATCCTTATGCTAGTACCACACAATTTTTATAATAAATTATCTGTAAGTTATCTAACACTTTTTTAGGTATTCTGAGTCATTTGCATTTCCATTTGACTGACAGTTTTTTTAATATTTATTTTTTAGGTGTAGATGGACACAACACAATGCCTTTATTTTTTATGTGGTGCTGAGGATCGAACCCGGGTCCCGCTCATGCTAGGCGAGTGCTCTACCGCTGAGCCATAATCCCAGCCCCTTGACTGACAGTTTTTACCTCATGTCTTTCCCTACCTCCCTAAAACACTTGGTAATTTGGGATTACTCAGTTTGGGGAGAATTGCCATTTTATTGCCACTTTGAATCCACGAACCATAATATCATAGTAATCTATTTAGACCTTCTTTGGTTTCTAAACAATATTTTTGATATAGCAATCTTTTACATCTTTTGTTAAAAATAGTCCTATATGTTTAAGGTTTTGGTGTTGTAGTAAATAGATTAAACTTTCATTTTCTAATTTTGTCCCTCTAATACACAAAAAATTCGGTTGATTTTTGTGTGGTGTGTTAACCTTGGCTGATTTATTAAAAAATTGTGTTTTCCTTTTTCTAGTATGTTTTAAAAATTATCCACTGTCTCCATCCTAGGTCATGCCTTTACTGAACAATTTAATTAGCTTCTCAATTATCTGGTTTCTGTATCACTTTGCATCTCTTCCTAGTTCAGAACCCTTCAGTGATTCTTCAGTTTCTGTGAAGTTCAACGGGTTAACTATGACAATTATGGCTTTCTACTATCTCATCTCTACTTCATTCCAATCTTTGATTCTTCTGTGAACTCTGTGCACCTAGTTTTGTATTTCTAAGTCTTTTCTGTGTGATGATTGCATTCATTCTTTCTGCATGCATTCTTCTAACTTCTTATTGACCCCCAAAAGATACTCTGCCCCCATTAGTAGTTGCTCCCCATTCCTCCTCGCCCTGCCTACTTTTTGTTTCCATAGCTTTGCCTATTATAGTATTTCATGTAAATGTAATATAACAATATGTAGTCTTTTGTGCCTGGCTTTTTTTCCCTTAATGTTTTCAAGGTTTATCCATGTTGTATAGCATGTATCAGTACTTCATTCTTTTCTGTTGCTGAATAATATGTCATTTTATGGATAAACTGAAATTATCTGTCAGGTCAATCAGTAAAAATATATTTAGAGATACAGTTAGAGTGCAAGAATAGTATATTTAGCATGTTTACGTTCCCAGGATTGTAGCAAAACACACAGAATGCTAACATTCTCTCTTCCTCAATACATCTAGTTTTGTTCATTTGTGAAATAAAAGTACTATAATGTCTGGAGAAATTTTATCACTTTGTTTCTTCTTAAATACAGAATGGCATTCCTGTAGCATCTATCTAATATTAAGAATAGAAATATAATTTGTATTTGGTAATTAAACCTTGTACCAGAAAAAAATGGTCTTAGGTAAATGTTCACTTATTATGAGATAGAATTGACGATTATGTCAGTGTGGACTATAATTGACTACAGTTGACTACAAATGAATACATTTATATCTACTTTAATAATGCTCAAAGAGAAAAGCTTTTAAATGATAGTTCTAATTGCTTATGTCAATCTATCACTAAATTAGAACTTTTTCATTTTAGATACAAAAGTTTTGCAGTACTATTTCAATCTGGGATTGCAGGTAAGTGTCATGTTTAAATTGCTTTGATAAATTCTATACTCAAAATATCTGTTTTGAAAAATCAGATACTTGAACTTTAAAAACCAAAAACACTGTGACAGAACTAAGATTTTTATTGTTTTCTGACAGGTCACTGAAGATAACTAACCATGTTTTCCACTTTAGCCTCCCAGTGGTTCAGTTTCTTTTATTATAAATACTTGTAAATCGAAAGTGGGGACTGGACTCTTAAGTTGCACAACTTCAGCATATATTAGTCTTCACATTTAACATTATATACCAACAATTTACTGTTATATACTCAAAATAAATGGATTGTTTATTCAGCTTACTTCAAAGATTTTTGCTATTTATTTTATATGAAAACTAATTCAGACATTTAAATAATTATTTTAAAAAGCAGTCATATATTCATACATATTTGTCAAAAACTGTTTTTCACCACTCTGCTGGGTTATAAAGGTGGGTACTGACAAAAATCTTAGCACAGGAAGGTGTCCCTGATTTGAGGTGAGAGCTCCTTTTTATTTTATTCCTTTAGGGATCATTTTCCCCTGAAACACACTTTATTTATTTATTCATTTATTTTTACAGATGTACTTTATTTTTTTTTTTATTATCTACACATGACATTACAATGATCTTGGCAGTTCATACAATTGTATCATTGGGGTATAGTTTCTCATTTTTCTAATTGTACAGATTGCAGAATCACTGGTCATACAGTCACCTATATACATACAGTAATCATAATAAAACACTTTATTTCTGATACAACAAGATGGTGTGTTTATTGAAAGGACATATTTTTCTGAAAAGACATCTTAAGATTTGGCAGACAATAATAATATATAGTCTCCTGGATAATACTCATATAGTTCATATTCTTTATCACTGATTTCCTTACAACTTTATACATATTATACATCTAAATTAAGAATGGTATAGTGGTTTTTTTCCCCCCTTTGAGACTTTTTTCCCTAAATGTAGTTTTAAGAATTGATAAATTACTTGTCCTTTAGTTGTATTTTTTATGGTCACATGTGGAAACTTGTTATCTGTCCTACAAGACTGAGGCATTTGAAAATATTCTTCCCAATGAGCACAATGATGCACACCTGTTTTAGCTACTGAGGAAGCTGAGGTGGAAGGATAACTTGAACCCATGGAGTTCAAGGGCAGCCTAGGCAACAACATAGGGAAACTGTATCTCAGAGAAAAAAATATTTTCCTGCTTTTTACAACATGAGAATACCAGGAAATGCAGAATAGGTGCTTTAATACTTTCAAAAATAGTAATGTTCATGACATTACATTTGGGAAATACTGAGGTATAAAAAAACTAATATTACCTGTTATAACCACTGTGAATTTTGAAACATTTCCTTACAGTTTTCTAATTTTTATGTTACAAAATAGAGATTATGCTATATAAAATTTTACTTGTTTAATTTAAGATGAGTAACTTTGTGTTTAAATATTTAATAGCATGACTTTTTTGCTGTATAGTACTCCTTTATGAACATCTAATAATTTATTCACCCAGCACCTTATTGTTAAATACTTAAGTTGTTCAGTGATTAATGCTTTTTAAAATAATGCTACAAAAGAATCTGGATCTTTGTATTCAGATTTTTGTATATCTCTGATTTCCTTAGCAAGCTTTTCTATAATTCGTAGGTCCAAATATGAGGTAAGAGATACTGCAAAAATCTTAGTTCTAGAAGAGAACAAATTTTCTAAATATCAAATCTTACCCCACCTGGAAATGGACACATTTTTTAAAGTGATGAACTAAAATACTTTAAGAAAAGGGAATAGTAAAATTTCTTCTTGTTGTTGCCCTTTCTTGCTCCAGTGCTATCACCACAACTACTGGCACTCCATGGTCTATGCGCCACAGATGCAACAGCAGCAGCTTTATGTAGAGAATTATCCAATGTATTGTGAACCACCTTCTCTGGTAGACCAAACTGCTCCTCACTTTTACAGTGAGGTAGGGAGAGCAAGTGGTACACACATAGAAGCATCAACACATGGTGAGTCTGTAATGGGATTGCTTGCAAGAAAGATAATGGGATTTTATTGTGTACAATTTAATTATAATCTTTTAGATGTTTCATTGGAGCTATATACCTAGACCAGCAGTTATAAAAGTATGATATGTGGACCCCTTGAGGTCCCTGGACCTTTCAAGAGATTAATAGCAATACTAAGATTCTGTTTGTCTTATTGCATTACATTTGCATTCAGGGTGCAAAAATCAGTGGTGGGTAAAATTGCTTGTACCTAATCACAAACTAAATAACTAGCACCAAATTCTGCTAGTGGTCAGTATCTTCTGACTGCCACACGATTTGTACAAAAGTACTAATTTTCTCTTGTTTTGGTCAAAGATGTTATTTTTACTAACTTTTTGTGCTTTTGTATTTAATAGTCTTTGTGACAAAATGGGAACTATTTATAAAACACTGTGCATACTGGACGAAGTATGCTGATTCACGTAAGGAAAAGATGCTTGTGCTATTGAGTTACTAGCTGAACTAGCTGACTTTTTTTTTTTTTTTTTTTTGGAGGTTCTAGAGATAGAACTCAGGGCCTCACACATGCTGGGCAGTCATTCTGCTGCTGAGCTACATACCCAGCCCCCAGCTAACATATTTTTAATGGATCGTTCTTTTTACTTGAAAAGCTGACAGACAAATTATGGCTGTTTGTACTTGATTGATCTGCCCAACACTTTCTCAAATGAACAAAGTCAGACTATGACTTAAGAAAAAACAACATGGTAATATTTGTTAAAGAAAATTCCAACTTTCCAATAAAAATTAGAGAACCTGGATCTGCTATCATAAGCTCAACAGCTTTCCAGGGATTACAACTCTGCTAATAAGTGGAGTTATTAGTGAATGCAGTTTTATAAATTGTATAATGAAATATATCCATATTTGGGAGACCAATATAACCATGTGAAGTAAAAGTTTCCCAATTACTAACTCATGATGTTACTCATGCCTCATTTTGTAAAAGAGCTATCCAAAGTGCAAGATAAAACAATGAATTTTAATGTAACAGTATGAAAAGTGCACATTGCCAGTGATCTTTGAGAAACTACCCCTTAGTATAGTTTTGGTGTAGCATCAAAGAATATAATTACCTGAAGTCTTGTTATTAAAGGACTTCTCTTTTCTACCTACATGTCTGCGTGAGGACAGACTTCTTCATATACTTCAACTAAGACAACATAGCAATAGATTAAATACAGAAGTGCATATGAGAACCCAACTGTCATCTATTAAGCCATACATTAGAAATTTGAACAAGTATAGAACAATGGCACTCTTACATTTTTTTGTTGTTGGCTACACATTCATATATAATTTAAAATTTTCTCATTTAAATTCCCAATACAGTAAATATCAATAGCTATAGTCCACATAAAAAAGCTGTTTGGGGTTCTCAAGTTTTTAAAAGCATAAGGGGTCCCTGAGACCCAAAAGTTTAAGAACCACTATGTTAGACCGTAAGTATAGTTGCTGTGTGAGCTCAGAGTATAGTACAGATAAAGAGGCATTTTAGGGGGATTTAGGATCTTTGGACTACCCTTCTTGGACAGAATCAGAATAATTTCTCTACTTCTCTAGAGAAGTGATGTGAACTAACCTACCAGATGTGTTTCAAATCCCAGCACTGCTACTCAGTGGCTGTGATCTCTTCTAAGTTACCTAACCTCCCTAAACCTGATTTTCTGTATCATGGGAAATATCTAACTTGTCAGGGTTCTAAGAACTAATAAACACCTTATGTGTTCATATACTGTTTGGTGTATATTAGGAATGCTAATTTCCTTTTTCTCTCCCTTATAAAGCATATTTTTGGTTTTGAAATGTGATTAGTCCCAGAATCTTATCATTATGTGTGTTGATGTGATATGACCTATAGTTATTTAAAAATGTCATTCTTCATTGCATTTTTGTGCAATGTACCTTTTATAAGGTCATTTTTAATTATAGTAAACCATGAGGCAGTGGCAGTCTTTAATTCACAGAATAGCCTAAGATAACCAAAGGAATTAAAGATTCCTTTGTATCTCATAGGTATAGTCACTGTAGCAAGATCAGATCAGCATTGTCTATTTCCACTGAAACTGATGTATAGTAGCAGAAGTGTTGTAAAATAATATTAGGATCCCAAAAAACATTTATGAGAAGATACTTTTAGAATGATCTTCTGTATTATACCTTTAAGTATACATCAGACTGTACAGACACCTGCATTTTTCATTGCTAAATTGGTACAAAATGATTATTTGGATGATTCGTGTTATACTGGAAAACTGCTGGGAAATTTAATTATGACCACTTCTTATAAGAGCTGGAAGCATGCTAGAGAATGTTTATGTATTTAGCTTGTTGACACTTAAATCATCCCAGAACACTATCTACAGAAAGAATAGATTTGACGACACATTTTAAATGTATGTATAATTTTTTATTTGAAATGTTTTGAATAAATTTTTGGTAGCTTGTTTTAGACACTGTCGTTTTAAAAATGATACCATTTTTGATGCTGAAGATCAAACCTAGTACCTCACACATACTAGGCAAGGGCGGGCGCTACCACTGAGCCACAACCCCAGCCCCAGACACTATTGTTTATATCTGATGTGCTCCTGTTGCAGTTCCTGTGAACTTTCTTATACTAAATATATTTTTCACCTCTAATACCACCCATTTGTGGGCTAGGGTATAGGTCATTGGCAGAGTGATTGCCTAGAACATATTAGGCACTGGGTTCAGTTCTTAACACTGTATAAAAATAAATAAATTAATAAATAAAATCATTATAAAATTACAAAGATCATTTATAACTGGAGTTCTGCTGTAGTGGATTTTTGTATATAAAGCATACTATATGCATTCTTTGTTTCAGGTACTTTTCTGAATATTGACCCTGGATCTATCCCTCGTGGAGCAGTCTATTATCCAGTAATGTCAGATCCCTATGGCCAGCCTCCTTTGCCAGGTTTTGATTCCTGCCTTCCTGTTGTGCCAGATCATTCCTATGTTGCCTCCTGGCATCCAGTTGGTATAGCATATGGTGGTTCTCAAATTCATGGTGCTATAAATCCTGGGCCGGTTGGCTATATTGCTTCACCTTCTTCAGCTTCTCATTATGTACCTCAGAATATGTAAGATGCAGCAATATGAAGAATATTGCACTGCCGTTTTCTTGCTGTTTGGTTTTCAAAGAGTGTTTTATGTTACTGTTTAAGTGATGTAGGTGGTAAAAGTCATCATTCTTGTATCTGTCTTTAAGATTATTTTATCTTTTCATTTAAAATATTCCTCTAAAGGAATACTACTTTGGGCTGTGAATAAGGAAATCCAGATGGATGTACAACTAGCCCCATGTTGAGCATAGTTCATTGTATTCAGATGTTTTCCTATCAGCCAGCTTGTCACCTTTGTATTAGCTGATGGTGCCAATTGATAAAAGGAGTAATCATACAAACTATTAACCTTGGTACAAGTATCATACATATTAATATTAATACCTTGGTTCAGACAAAACTGTTCAAAATTGGAATAATTTCAACTTTCTAGAAAGTAAAACAGCAAACCCAAGAGTTTTTGTTTCTGAAAATCTTAATATTAAATGAGAGAGCTCTTCAGGTTTCTTAAGAATTAATCTGACCTGAGTTGTGTTCTGTGATGTTAATCAGTTTTGAAGGCACATGGTGCTCTGCTTTAGATTTCTCTCATATGTTATTGTTTAATATTAGATGTATGTAACTGTTTTACTGCACAGTATTGAATTGGTGTCCTTTGCACAGTTAGCAGTAAATAAAAACGAGCATTTAAAATTACCAAAATGAGTGTTTTTTTTTTCTTTTTCATGACAGTGAAAAGTGTACTAGACATTTGATTGTTTCAACATGTTTTCCTCTGGCATTTTAGTTGCAAAGAATGTGAAATTATAGTTTGGGCTGGGGGGGTGCAGTTGCAGGGCCACTTGAAAAACATTTCAATATCAGGTCATTGCAGTGCATACTGTCTAGTTCTTTTCTCTTGGGAATGTATATTTTTAAATTGTTTTTCTGGTTTTAAATAAATCTGTAGCTCAGTGTGGTGTGGTACATGCTTATAAGGAGGCTGAGACAGGAAGAACACAAGTTCAAGGCCAGCCCCAGCAACTTAGTGAGGCCCTAAGCAACTTAATGAGACCCTGTCTCAAAATAAAAATGGCTGGGGATGTAGCTTTAAGGTGCTCCTGTGTTCAATCCCTGGTAAACCCCCACCCAACCTCCAAAAAATCTATAACTCCCCTATGGAACTTTCATGTAGAATTGCTTTCTCATTGTCCTGTACTTCTAATAGTTTTCATATCTTCCAGTTTTTGTTCTTAGATTATCTTGCAAAGACTAGCTTTTCTCTGACTTTGTGTGAGACACATTTCATCAATCTTTTTTGCTTTCCTCCATCTGTCTAAAAGCCACAAAATCTGTATTGATCAATTCTTCTCTTAGGGCTACTTCATCCAAAATGCTTTGGTATATCTTACCTCATAGATATTTAAAGTTTTCTTTGGTTGCCACAAAACCTATTTACAAATATCATCATCTTTAAAGGTTAATTTTTGCTTGTGAATCAGTCTGTCTTTGACCTGTAAAGCTGCACCTCAGGCAAAAAGAACCATTTGAGGCATTAGGGCTTGAGGAGCTTCACTAGTACTAGAGTGGAATCTATTGCCAAGAAGAGATTCTGTCTTCAATGTCCTATTCTTATGATGATTGATATTACTGAATCCCAAATAAGCCAGTGTACTAGTTAGAGGTTTCTGCTTCATATCAGTCATGGTATTGGTTGAGTTTTTTGGTTTTGTATCCTTGATCTTTAGGCCTTGCTCTAAAAGTAGGCATGTGACAACTTTAGTAAAGAAAGATGGATGACAGGGCACTGATCTTTACAACGGTCTGCTCTGCTAATCTTGTGGGTTTTCAATTTGTGTAGTCTACAAATTGTTTTGCGTAAAGGTTTTAGTCAAGCTTACCAGCATGGAGCAAATGCTCCCCCAATGTTTTTCAATGTGCTAACATTTCTGAAGTATAGCAAGTGATTTCTTATATTTTGAACGGTCAGTGGTTCACTAAGTAGTGTCTAAGAGGTGTTTTAGAAGATTTTAGTCTTTCTTGAGAATGTGAGTCTGGTATTTGATTTTGAGTTGAGCACTCTTGCCTTAATTTTCCAGTTGTTTGTTTTTGTTTCAAAGGTTTAGGTGGCTGCCTTGCCTTAAATTTCATTATTGGTTCATCTACTGAAGGGCATGTAGGTTGGTTCCACAGTTTAGCTATTGTGAATTGTGCTGCTATAAACATTGATGTGGCTGTGTCTCTGTAGTATGCTGTTTTTAAGACCTTTGGGTATAGGCCGAGGAGAGGGATAGCTAGATCAAATGGTGGTTCCATTCCCAGATTTCCAAGGAATCTCCATACAGCTTTCTATATTGTCTGTACCAATTTGCAGTTCCACCAGCAATGTATGAGTATACCTTTTCCCCCAAATTTTTTGCCAACACTTACTGTTGTTTGTCTTCATGTTAGCTGCTATTCTGACAGGAGTGAGATGAAATCTTAGTTTTTATTTGCATTTGTCTAATTGCTAGAGATGATGATCATTTTTTTCATAATTGTTGATTGATTTTATATTCTCTTCTGAGAAGTGTCTGTTCAGGTCCTTGATCCATTTATTGATTGGGTTATTTGGGTTTTTGGTGTTAAGGTTTTGGGTTATTTATGTGCCCTAGAGTTTAGTGCTGTGATAGGTGAGGCATAAAAGTTTGCTCCCTAGCCTCACAGATTGGTTCTCTTGCTGAAAAGAGACTTTTTAGTTTCAAACCATCCCATTTATTGACTCTTGATTTTAATTCTTGCACTGTAGGACTATTATTAAGGAAGTTGAGGCCTAATCTGACATGATGAAGATTAGGGCCTATTTTTTCTTCTGTTAGACGCAGGGTCTCTTGGTTTAATATGAATTGTAATGCATCCCACTGTCATATTTAAAAAAAAATAATAAAATAAAAATTTCATTATTGATGCAATTTAATTAGATGACTGTTATTAACTCTGAAATCAACATGTGTACTAGATTTGCCTAATTGTTATCAAATGAATCTACAGTATTTATGGTTTTTAAAACCATATGATTCCCTTTGCTTAGTTTTGTGTAACAAAGCTTTTTTCACTGTGAACAAAAACCTGACAAGAACAACTTTAGAGGAAAACAAATTTATTTTGTGTTCATGACTTTAGAGGTTCAGTCCATGGTCAGCAGACTCTTGGCCCGAGTTGAGGCAGAGCATCATGGCAGAAAGACATGGTGAAAAAATCCTGCTCACCTCATGGTAGCCAGGAAGCAGAGAGAGACAGGGAGGAGCCTGTGGGACAAGATAAAACCCCTACAGGCTTGCCTTCAGAGACCAACTTCCTTCAGTCACACCCAATCGGCTTATAGTTGTTACCACCTAATACATAGGCCTTTGAAATTATTAATCCATCTAATGGATTAATCCACCAATTAGACTACAGCTCTCGTAATAATTTCATTTCTGAATATTCCTGCATTGTCTATCACATGAGCCTATTGGGAGACACCTCATATTCAAATTATAACATGTATCATAATACATCTTCTCCAAGTAATAATAAAGGAGTGAGCTCTGGCCTCCTGTTGTGGGTTGAGAATAACCTGTACTGCTAGCAGAAGTCTGCAATAGTTAATAGAGGCAGCTGCCAGATAACACACAAGTAACTTTTCTGGTAATTAAATGCAAAGTTGACATTTTAATCAGTATGTAGCAGAAACAGTCATGGGCTATTTTTTTCAATGTTCTTTAGTTTTCCTGGATGTTACAAAATATGTCTTTACTGGTAACCAAATTTCATCTCTTAGGACTTTTTGGGAGCAGGAGATATAAAAGCACTGTGGTTTGTTTGGGATCCTTTACTTTCATCCCCTTCCTGATATAAATCTGTCCACACTAAATGTAGAAAGCTGGATAATTTCCATTATAAGGAAGAAGTATTGAAATTCATTTTTAGGCTGTATATATTTATTCTCAGAACTAATTATGGCTTTATGTCTTGATCAAGAGCAGATGAAAATATTGAATCTGTTTTGTTGTAATTTGAGACTTGTGAATTTAAAACATCTTTTATTTCCTTGGAGCCTACAATCAAAGCATAACCTTTTAATTAGCTTTGGAAATTGTATAAACAAATCATGGTGGTTTAAAAAAAAATGTGAACACCAGACACTCAAATAAAATATCTATGAATAACAATAGTCCATTGGGGAGGGTAGGACATGAACTACCATCTAGACTTTCCTAAATCTCAGACTGTTTTAGTCCATTTTATTTCCAGTTATAATAATAGCTAAGAATTTAAGAGAACTAATATAGCAAAAGACAACCTGTCCTCTGCCAATCCTACATATAATATTAAGCCTCGGTAGAAGCATGCTGATTTAGAATCCTTGTCCACTCTCCTAGCTCAATTATCAAAGGAAATTTTCCCTGTAATACTTTTCAGGGGCATGTGGGAAATGTAGCTTCAGGAAAAGATCCTCTTGAGTTTAGGTAACCATTTTGTGGTTAAAGCTGCTTTAGAAAGATTGATTTAGGAATTGTTTCAAAGAATCTAGGGATGAGGTTTTTAGATGAAAGAATATTAGCTAGTTGTGTGTCATCTGTTAAATAATAACCATTGAAGCCTGGGTTCATTATGCTATTGTCTATTTTTGTGTTTGAAATTTTTCATAATAAAATATCTTGGTAACTGGCCATCTGGAGAAGAGGTGTTTGCTTAAGAAGTTAGTAAGTGGTCGAGTTTTAAGAAGCATCTTGAATCCTGAAAAACAGTAAATTGATCACATTTTAGGGAGAGGCTGTTGCATTTGGTCAAAAGATACCTTGCTAAGACATTAAGGGATTTGTGGGGATCCTGTAAGATAGGAAATAGGTTCTTTGAAACTCTGTAATTTTGAAGAATATTCACTAGCTATGTGTAAAACCTTTTTTTCCCTCCCTCTAGTACCCAGAACTGAACTACTTCCCCAGCCCTGTTTTTTTTTTTTTTTTTTTTTTGTGTGTGTGTGGGGGGGGGTTGTTGTTGTCTTTGTTATTTTGTTTTGTTTTGAGACAAGGTCTCACTAAGTTGCTTAAAAACTACTTTTAATAACACATGATAGCTCCCCCTTCCATGGATTCCGCCTTTTGGGTCCCCTTCTTCGGGGAGAAGTCTTTTCTGCTGTCCTTTAATAAAGCTTCTACTTTCCACTCTAAAAAAAATAACACATGATATTTTTTATAACTGAAACTAATTGAGGTGGGTGAACATTTCAGGTTTTACTATTTCAGTAATTGTTTTCCTAATAAATCACTACCACTTTTGAGTTTACTTTTTCTTTACAAATGTCAGAGTGGATCTTCAAAACCAGAAAGTCCCTGACTATTGAACCCTTGTTCTTCCCTGGTAGATGGTTCTTGCCACTGAACAGACCTTTTGTGGAAGGTGCATTTCTATAATATTAAGTTGAATATTCATATTGATGGAATCAGTTCTTATGAATTCAAACCTGCCAGTGAATAAAATGTTAAGCTCTATTCTTGCCAAATATTATTGGTTATTAGGATTAATTTATTAGTGTTATATGATTGGTCAATCTTCTTACATAATTAGCAAATCTTTCTTGTAGATGTTACTATATATAAAATACAGGTTATTTCAAATTGTTTGCAGAATTTTAGGAAAAATTCTACCCTGAGTACTAAAGCATTAAGATGTAA